GGGGGTCAGTTGTGGAGTTTGAACTCTGGGTTTGGGTGCTGTCCCTGCGCTCTTTGCTCAAGGCGAGTGCTCTGCCCCTTGAGCCACAGCGCCACTTCCGGTTTTCTAGTGGTTTTTATTGGAGATAAGAGTCTCACAGACTTTCTTGCCCAAGCTGGCTTTGAACCATGATCCTCAGATCTCAGCCTCTTGAGTAGCTAGGATTACAGGCATGAGCCATTGGCGCCCTGCTCAATGTGTATATCTTATTGTGTATACATGGACACATAGTTGTTGAAGCTTTTGATTACCAGTGGGTGTTTTTGTTGTTATTGTTGTTGTTTTATAATACTGGGATTTGAATTTAGGGCCTGAAACTTGCTTAGCCAAGTGATCCACCACTTGAGCTATGCTCCCAGAAAACCAGTGTTTAGAATCATGTCATTAAAGCCTATCCGACTAGTTTGTTCAATAAATATATAACTATCTCTCTCTTTTTTATGTGTGCACTTAAGTAATATTGAGAGGATTGTGATTCTAAGCCACCCCTGGTGAAAATTTTATGAGAACCCCTCCCCTTTGCCCACCTCAACATAAAAGGTTGGTTGGGGGTGGTAATGCACACCTGTCTTCCTGATACAGCAGTAAAGGAAATATAAATAGGAAGACTGTGATTCGTGTTGGCCCTGTCTTGAAAATAATCAGAGCAAAAAGGGCAGGAAGACAGTGTTAGAATGCCTGTCTAATGAGCATGAAGCCCTGAGTTCAAACCCTAGACCCATCAACAGACAAAAAACCTTGACCCTTATTCATGTTTAGCTATAACAACCAATAACCTCAAAATAGAGTATTTATAATTCATCTTTTATCTGGCATTCACTTTTTGTTTTGCATACCATCCTCATTTTACATACTTACATTTTTAAGAAAAGATAATTGTTGAGTTGGTTTAATAGTACTTTATTTCATAACTTTGTGTGCTTATATTTAGGTTCATCACATTCTTCTGTTAGAAGAAACTGTTTACAGAGTGAGGCCAAAGAACCAACCAACTCTTTTAAGACAGTTCTGAGGAAATATTCTGACAATGAAAATAGTTATGCTAATGTATTAATACCTGAGGATCTTAATTATAAAGAAGCAAAAATTAAAGAAAAGCCAGGAACTGATTTTCTGCCATGCTTTCAGGAAAGACAATGTGAAGATGCTTCAAAAAGCCAAAAGGTTTCATATATAAAAGAAAAGGTATCGGTTGCAGCATGCCATTCTGTAGTACAGCCTGCAGAAATGGAATGTCATGGTTTTCACTTTGAATCACAGGGAAGTTTTTTAGATGTTCTTCCTAATACCAGTACTCCTACTTCCAAAGGTCCTCTTTCAAATCCAGTTGTGGTTTCTAGAGGAAAAGACTTATATGAAATGCCAGAGAAATTTAAGGTTAAGAATTATGAAACTGATACTGAATTAACTCAAAACATTTCTTTGGGAAAAAATCCAGAAATGTATGTTTTAAATGGAAGTTTGAAAAAAGCTGAGATTTTGTCATCTGAAAATTGCATAAAAATAGCATCACCTTCATTGAAGTTGGAATTTAATCAAAATAAAAATCTAACAGTAAACCAAAAAGACCAAGAAGAAACCTCTTTAATTTCAGAAGTAAGTATCCATCTAAATTCTGAAGAAGGAATTTTCCCAGGCAATGAGAATAACTTCATTTCTCAAAGAACGAGGCAAAGAAACAGTCCTGTTTTAGGAACTACTGAGGAACTCTATGAAGCAGACCATAGTTGTGTAAAAGAACCCATTTTTAAGAACTGTATGATGGTAATTGATACAGACATAGATGATAAACAAGCAGCCCATGTTTTGATTACAGAAGGTTTTAGCTCATCAGATAATAGCTATGATCTTACAGAAGAGAACAAAAATAGTGCAAAGCAGAATTTAAAAAGAACTCTCACTCAAGAGTTAAAATCAAATTCTTTCTTGGATATAAAAGATATAAAATCAAACCGAAATAATTATTATGAAGACAAATTGTCAGGGCTCTTAAATCCACTTACAGATCATAGTTTTAGAGGTGGCTTCAGAACAGCTTCAAATAAAGAAATAAAACTCTCTGAACATAACATTAAGAAGAGTAAAGTGCTCTTCAAAGATATTGAAGAAAAATATCCTACTAGTTTACCTTGTGTTGAAATTGCAAATACAAATACCTTAACATTAGATCACCAAAAGAAGCTAAACAAACTTAACATATCCAACTCAAAGTTAGTTAATACTGTTTCTCCATCTGTTCAGAGTGGTACATTTATTCCTGACTGTGAAAATAATCATACATCCCCTTTAAAGCAAGATATCAGTGCAAACCATAATTTAACACCTAGCCAAAGGGCAGAAGTTACAGAACTTTCTACTATATTAGAGGAATCAGGGAGTCAATTTGAATTCACACAGTTTAGAAAACTGTGCCACAGAGCACAAAATCTTACATCTGAAGTTCCTAAAAACCAGATGGCTGACTCTAATCACACTTCTGATGCTTCATCTCAAGGTCAGGTAGATAGAAGTGAGAAACTTAAAGAAGTTGCCAGAATTAAACAGACCTCTGCTTGCTTACTGAAAAACTATAACAAAAGTACAGGTGAAAGTGAAAAGGAGTTTCAAGGCTTTTATTCTGCTCTTGGTACAAAACTCAGTATTTCTACTGAAGCTCTGCAAAAAGCTTTGAAACTATTCAGTGACATTGACATTATTCACGAGGAGACTTCTGTAGAAGCAGAGCCAAGATTTTCTTCCAGTAATAGTCATGATTCTTTTGTTTCAGCACATAAGATAGAAAGTCACACCAATAATAAAAATTTACATGAGAAAAATAGTAAATGCCAACTCATATTACAAAATAATATTGAAATGACCCCTGGCATTATTTGTGAAGAAAATACTGAAAATTACATGAGAAATACCGGAAGTAAATGTAACAGATGTACTGATATGAGCAGAAGTATTTGTAAATTACAAGAATCTGATGGCACTGACTCAAGTAGGAATGATGATAAAGTTTATATTCATAAAGATGAAAGTAATTTGCAGTGTACTGATAGGCATAATATATATATCAAATCAGCTAGCCAGTTCACAAAAGAAGGAAACATACAGACTAAAGAATGCTTGTCAGACTTAACTTGTTTGGAAGTCATGAAAGCTGAAGAAACATGTCTTACCAATTCCTCTAATAAAGAACAATTAACTGTAGGTAAGAAGGAGCAAAATGTAAAAGATTTTGATATAACCTCTCCGACAGCAAGTGGGAAAAATAATAGAGTCCCTGAAGAATCTTCAAATTTCTTTGATAAACACATGGGAGAAATAAGTAACTTTTCAAATTCCTTTAATTCTGAATTACTTTCTGGCATCATTAAGAGCAAAGTGGATATTTCATGTCATGGGGAAACAGACATGACTGAAAACAAAATATCAGAAGAAGGTATCCCAGTTGGTAATGGAAAGCAACCATCTGACTATAAAATGGGAAAGATCAAAGAACATACTCTCCTGGGTTTTCATACTGCTAGTGGGAAAAAAGTAAAAATTGCCAAGGAATCTCTGGAAACAGTGAAAAATCTTTTTCATGAAAAAGAAGATGTTGGTAAAATCTCCAGTTTTGGTTATCAAGAAACAAAGATACTAAAGTACAGAGAAGACTCTAAAGAAAGGCTTGATTTAACATATGAGAGAATTGAAATAACTGTCCCCAAATGTGAAGAAATGCAGAATTCTGTAGATGATAAAATGTTTGTTTATAGGGAACCTAGGATACTACCCAGGCTAAGCAATAATTTGTATGAGCAAACTGAAAATCTCAAAACCTCAAAGAATATTTCTTTGCAAGTTAAAGTACATGAAAATATAGAGGAAGAAACAGAAAGAAGCTCTACAGCTTGTTGCACAAATCAACCTACAGCTTTGGTGTTTTACACAGGACATGGTAGAAAAATTCCCGTGAGTCAGTCCTCACTGTCTAAAGCAAGACAGTGGCTTAGAGAAGAATTGGATGATCATCTAGAAGAAATAAATACTGCCAAAGTTGTACGTGCAAACAAGTACACTAATGATTATGTAGGGAAAGTGTCATATGAAATTAGTTTAAACCGTATTGTAACTGAAAATGACAAAAATCATCTCTCTGAAGAGCAAGATTCAGCCTATTTAAGTAACTGTAGTATATCTAATAGCAGTTCATACCATTCTGACTTGTGTCATTCCAATGATCTATACTCAGGACATTCTTCAAAAAATAACAGTGTTTCTGGTATTGAGGCAGTCATTAATGTCAAAGACAAGAAAATCACTTGTTTTTCTGAAGTAGTATCTGCTATTAGAGAAGCAAATATACATTCGCAAACTGCAAATGAAAATACTTGTGCTCAGAAACTTGTGACTGACCCTTCACTGTGCAAAAATAAAAATCTAGCCATGAATTTGGCTACCCCTGATCCAAATAATTTTGAGATAGGGTCACCTACATCCAGTACAGCTACTAGTAAAATAGTCTGCATTTCAAATGAAAAAATTAAAGTGGAAGAAGTATTTACTGACAACTGCAAGAATATAGTCAAGCAAAACACTGAGAATAAACTAGGTACTGGCCAAACAAAAATCGTGGCATGTAAGGCATTAGACGATTCAAAGGTTGTTGTCATTAATAACTCTGCAGATAATGACTTCATGGATTCACATAAGGCCTTTGCTGACATTCAAAATGAACGCATTTTACACCATAACCAGGGTACATCTGGATTGGAGAAAGCTTCTAAAGTATCACATTGTGTTTCGGAAATTCCAGAGAAGTGTGAACTTAATATAGGGACGTTTCCCCCGTCAGTCTCCTCTAAAAATACTTTTGGGATTTTTAGCACAGCAAGTGGAAAATCTGTAGAAGTATCAGATGCTTCATTACAAAAGGCAAGACGGGTGTTTGCTGAGATAGAAGATAATACTAAGCAACTTGCTTCCACAGAATCACTTAAAAATAATGAGCATTCAGAGAGATTTACAAGAGAAGAAAATACTATGGCACATCTTACCCAGAATGAACTGTCACCCCCCAAATCCTTTTCCTATAATGTAAATTCAGCTGCTTTCTCTGGATTTAATACAGCCAGTGGAAAACATGTTGTGGTTTCAGCAAATGCCTTACACAGAGTTAAGGGTATGTTCGAGGAATTCGACTTACTCAAAGCTGAACATACCTTGCAGCATTCACCTACATCTGGACAAGAAGCATCAAAAATACTTCCTTGTACTGATAAGAGAACCTCAGTACACACTATAAATTCCAAAATGCAAAGGGCTATTAATAATGAATTTAAATTATTATATAACTCTAATATTGAAAGTGGTTCTTCAGAAAATCAGGCTATTAAAGTTTCTCCATATCTGTCTAAGAAAGACAAACAATTGGCAGTACAAACCAGCCCATCACTTGCTGAGAATCTTTTGGGAAAAGAACAAGCTTTGCCTAAAAACATAAAAATGGAAGTTGGCAAGAAATTTTTTTCTAATGTTCCTGTGAAAACAAATGCAAAAGATTGTTCTACTTACTCCAGAGATCTAGAAAACCATTTTGAAACAGAAGCAGTAGAGATTGCCAAAGCTTTTATGGAAGATGGTGAACTAACAGATCATGAACCACCAGCATGTGTCAAAAAGTCACTGTTTACAGGATCCAAGAATAAGGACATTGTTTTGCTAAATTCCAGAACTGGGAAAAGAAGAGGAATTGCCCTTAACTGGTTTGGTATGTATTATTTTTGTGGTTGTGCAAGTGTTTTGTTCGTCCTGGCCCTAGTAATACTAGCAATTATAAATCTTGTGACAATATCCTTTTTAGATATTATTAATATAGTTATAATTGAGAAGTTACTGTTAAAAGTTTGATTTTTAAGAAAGCCTGCCTAATGCTAACTTACTAAATGTTTCATGTATGTAGCAGAGTGGTGGTAACTGACTCTTTAAAAACTTGAAAGTTGGGCCGGGCACTCTTGGCTCACGCCTATAATTCTAGCTCCTCAGGAGCCTGAGGTCTGAGAACCATGGTTCAAAGCCAGCCCACGCAAGGAAAGTCTGTGAGACTCTTATCTCCAAATAACCACCAGAAAACCAGAAGTGGCACTGTGCTTCAAGTGTTAGAGTGCTTGCCTTGCATTGAATAGCTCAGGAACAGACCCCAGGCCCAGAGTTCAAGCCCCATGACCAACCAAAACAAAAACTTGAAAGTTGGGTTTCTAGTTATTATCACTTTCTGAGTGCTATATTCTATTCAGTTATACTACTTTCTACCACCTATTTAACTTCTCTGAATCTCAGTTTCCACATCTATAAACTATAGCTAATAGAGTGAGGAAAGGGGTGACGTCCAAAAAAAAAATGTGCTAATTACCTGACTTATATAACTGCAGCCCTTCTGTATATCACCTTTATAATAACAATAGATAGATAGAAAATACCTCTCACAAGGTAATTGTGAACATAAAATAGTGTATGTAAATTAATTAATAGTGTATATAATAGTATATTAATAGTGTATTAAAATATTGTATGTCAATTTGGTAAATGTTGGCTTGCTTCATATTTTTCATTTACAAAGTTTTCTAGCAGTTGCTATTACTAACAGCCCAATCTTAGTGCTATTTTTCACTATAGTCTAAATTTATTTATAGAGGTACTAGAGACTGAACTCTTAAGCGATATCCCCAGTACTAACTTTTCTTTTAATGATTTAAGTGAAGGAATTTTTTTTTTTACTGGCTGTACGAGAAATGTCAAATTATCAAATCTATCAACTAGTAGTTACAATTGAAGTAAATGTTCAAACTAACTCTTCAGTTCCCAAGTGGATAATCTTGAAAATACTAGCTCCATTAAAATCTGTAAATTCATAGACTATTTGAGTTATATTTTGCCCTATTATATCACTAAAAAACTTTGAAGCCTATCACTTTGCTCATCTGTCTACAGGTTTACTTTGTCTAGTGTTCTTCAGGTCACATTCTATGAACCTTACTACAGGAGCACAGCATAGGAATATAATACCTTAAATTATTTGTTGTTCCTTAAAACAAAATTCTGAAGTACATATGCTTTAAGATATTCATAATTCTTTTGTGGGAAATGTTGGCTTTATAGCAGCCCATCCTATTCTGTGTGTCTGAGTGGGGTGGCTTTCTACCACCTTGGACTTTTCATTCTTACCAGTGGCGATGTGTTACTATTTAATTTTCCTTGCTTCTGTTCTCACTTCTATATAGCTTCAGCAGCCTCTGGTTATTTTCACCACACAGAACCTTTTCTGAACCCCTTTAAAATATGGATCAAGCCTTACATGGATATTTTCACTTATTAAATCTTACAAATTCATTCCCCATAAGAAAGCATAAAAAAATAGAAGTGCTGTTGCAACATAACTCAGTGGAAATGCATAATTTGGCATGGAGATGCATAATTTGAGTTGTGGTTTCATCTTAGCCTCTGTAGAACTTTTAAGTAAATGTTGCTATTCCTAATGTTTTAATAAAATTTGGTAATATTTTAAAAATCTATTTACTAACTTCAAAGCCTTATATAATAACTTCATTTCTTGAGTTTTATATTCTCCCGAAAAGAGTTTGAAGAAATTTTGTATGTCCTCATTGCCAGTAAACCTAGAATTACATTTAATCTGGTATATGGCAATATCTGTTCATCCTGTAGGCCTCATTAAATAGTAGTATTTTAAAATACTAGTATTTTTAAAGTAGTGCAAGTAAAATTGACAATTTTTCTTTCAAAGTACAATGATTGCTTTTTAAAATTATAATTATGTAATTTAACATACTGTAAAAATCAGTACTTTAGTTTTTTAAAATGAGCTATAGGCTTTTGAAAAATTAGGGTGACATACTTAACAAACATGTATTGGAATTTCTTTTTAGAAGAACCTCCAATCAAAAGAAACTTGTTAAGTGAATTTGACAAGATAATGGAACGTGAAGAAAAATCTCTAAAGGCTTTAAAAAGCACTCCAGATGGTAAAACTTGCTAAATAACCATGCATAGTATTCTTTCTTTTTACTTTTCTTTATTAATTTTTTTAAATTTATATTTTATTGTGAAAATACTGTACAGAGAGGTTACAATTACATGGGCAAGATAATGAGTACATTTCTTATCAAGCATTGTAGCCTCCTCCTTTGTTTCCCCTTCCCA